TTCACACCTGATAATGGTTGCTTGTGTTGCAGTCGAAACGTCGTGAGAATTTTATTGTTTTATAGTTTTATTATTTTATTGTTTCCCTTCTACGTGACTTTACTGAAAGAACCAAGAACATAAATAAGCTCATTCATCTTTATCATCGCTACCTTGTCTACATCTCAAATTTTCTTATCTCACTGCCTCTAAATTTTGCCTACGCATCTCTCGCCCTTAGCGCTCGTGCCCTCTCACGAGGAGTTTATGCATCGAGATGGGACGGTCTCAAAATAATGTCTCCCTCGGGTCCGCTCGAGGCCCAGCGAGACGAGACACAAATGGGAAGTCACGTGAGAGATACAGGCAAGATGGGGACTTGGGAGATTCCATTTTTTTATTCGATTTGAAATTTGGTATTAAAAAAAAAATTGTCTCCATGATATCTGGGCCTCTTGGGCTGCTAGGGGCGATGAGTTTTGTTTTTAACTTATTTTGATTATACCTGGCACTGCCGCTAATCTTTATAAAGTAGCGTAGTCATGAGTGGACTGCGCCACGAACCCGGCCACCCAAGTTCGATTCCCGCTAGCAAACCAATAACAGTGGTGAGTATTAAATAACAGTTTTTTGAATGTTTAATTAATAACCGTCGTGAATTTTTAACCGGTCATGAGCATCCTCTAGATCGCCTTCAGCCTTAAATTAGTACCTGGTGCTATGCGTAAAACATCAGCACTGGGGAGACAAAGGCGGCCGGGCGTGGTGTTGGTCACCCAACCCCCTCGTGTGCCGTATCCGCCTTCATGGGTGCTCGCTAAAAGCACTTTCCCCAAAAGTCTATATGGTCTATATAGACTTTTGCAAGCGAGGATAGTTGACATGTACGTCCAGCATCGGTGTGTCCTGTGAGTTGCATGTATGTCAGCTGACGTTAGACAGATAATAGTCGCACAATAGGTGCCATAGGTACACTTTATGTTATTTTCATTTAGGAAGGCCTATCCTCTTTTGGGTGCATGCTTATGGACATTAAATCCATTTGAGCCGATGAGATCTGTCCTTTAGTGGAAGCGCTTACGGTGGGATCACGTTGTCCGCGTAAATCACGCAGCCACTTCATACGAAACACGTGGAACTTGGTGGAGACTGAAAGCAGAGAGAGAGAGAGACAGATAACTTGACGCGGCAGTGGAAACGTATATGACTTTGTAATGCGTGTTATTACTGCCACGCTTCAAGGGAAAGTGCGTTTTCATTTTCTTTGGGAGTGAAACGTGCAACGTGATACACAGAGAGAGAGCGAACGCGCTCTGGAGTTGTCTTGGCTCTGATTTACGTCCTAAGCCATGGAGCCCCCGGGAGGGGAGGGAGGAGGGGGGGGGTGCGTGGGTGTGGGGGTGGTGGGAGCAGAGACACCAGCGGGGAGAGTGTGTGGCCGTGCGTGTGTGTGTGTATGTTTGAGCGTCTCTCTGAATGTGTGTTCAGACGCACGCGTGTGGGGAGCGGTGGTGCGGCGGTGAGCGCGCTACGCTACGCTGCGCTACGAACCCGGCGGCCCGAGTTCGAATCCCGCTCGCCGCCAACGCCAGTGGCGATTATGTGAACCGCTCCTGGGCCTCCCCCTAGATCGACTCAGCCTTAAATGAGTACCTGGTGCGGGTGTATAAACATCGCCGCTGGGGAGACAAAGGCGGCCGGGCGTGGCGTTGGCCACCCACCCCCTCGTGCGCTGTGCCTGCCTTTAGGGGTGCTCGCTAACAGCTCTTGCCCCAACACTCTGTTAATGCTATCGGGGGCACCTTTGTCTTTGTTACCCCAGTGTCTCTGTCTGGGTGGCATTTCGTTTGAAACTTGCTGAAACTTGCCTGGGTCTGCCCTAGGTCAGATCAGCCCTAAATTAGTCCCATTGAGTGGCCTTGTCAGCATCACGACTTGGGAGGAGACAAAAGTAGCCAGACATCCTGTGCGATGGCCAAACTACCTCGTGGGCGCATCGCGTATAATGTGTTCTCGCTAACAGTGTTTACCCCACCAATGCATATAGTATGATTGCGAATATGAAGGGCCATATAGCTGGATGTGTATTTGCATGGCTGGGTCTGTTTCTATACGTCTGGGTGTGTTTCTGTACGGCTGAGTGTGTTTCTGTACGGCTGGGTTTGTATCTGTATAGCTGGGTGTGTCTGTATGGCTGTATGTATGTAAGTCTGTATGGCTGGGTGTGCATCTCTATGCCTGGGTGTGTATCTGTATGGCTGGGTGTGTGTCTGTATAGCTGGGTGTGTGTTTGTATAGCTGGGTGTGTGTTTGTATAGCTGGGTGTGTGTCTGTATAACTGGGTGTGTCTGTATATCTGGGTGTGTGTTTGTATAGCTGGGTGTGTGTTTGTATGGCTGGGTGTGTGTTTGTATGGCTGGGTGTGTGTTTGTATAGCTGGGTGTGTGTCTGTATAGCTGGGTGTGTGTCTGTATAGCTGGGTGTGTGTTTGTATGGCTGGGTGTGTGTCTGTATAGCTGGGTTTGTCTGTATATCTGGGTGTGTGTCCGTATGGCTGAATGTGTGTGGGTGAAAATTGATATAGAGTACGGAGCGGCTGCTTAGAATCAAATTACAGTTGAATTCCGTGCTTCTGAGATGTATATGTGGCTGCTGCTATAAATGTCCACGTGATGATAAGCCACTTCGTTGAGCTCTCATTTGTGGCCAGGTCCTATTTGAAAAAGAGCTATATAGCTCAGTGGGGCCTTATCTGGTAAAATTAAACAAATGTTATTTTAGTTTTCAGTTCAGTTGAGATAAAAAGCGTTTTGTCAATGGCGACACGACCAAAACCGGCCGATACGGTAGCTGCCACGTCACACGGGAAGGAAGGGTTCGTACGGGAGTTGCAACGAACCGTCCAAATTCATCTCCAGAACAAACAAACAACAAAAAATCTCCCAGCAGCACGTGGTGCGAACCGTCGGACATCACATGCCGAGCAACACGCGGCGCGACTCGTAAGAACGCAGCGGAGAGCGATGAACGTCGATGAAAAACTACCGCGCACTCGTCAGTGACACTAACTTTAAAAGAAGATGATGTACGGCACACGAACGGCCCTGCGTCACGGTGCATAAACGGTGTGCAGCAAAGAAGGCCCTTCGCCCATAACGTCACCAAATTTATTTTGCAGGCGGAGTTATTATTGTTATTATGATTAAGGCGGTGTTATTGACGAACGTGTCGAGTTTTGCTGTTCGCTGATTGCGCTTGTGCACCGCACTACCGACGCAGCGGCATCCCTGCGTACGGTGCGAAAGAAGTTCTACGCACATATCACAGCCAAATCGTTTCGGCTGCAGCGATCTGCGCGAGCGTTGCTCATCCGGCGTCGGCGGACGGATATCGCGTCGTTGGGCTGCGACGGAGTTCACCAGTGCAGCGGCGGTTTAAGCTGCGTGCGTAGCTTTTGCTAGCCTGGTACTTTTGTGACCCCCCCCCCACCAAGACCACGACAAAGCAGAAATTTAGCTCGACAATTCTGACGTTCACGAAGGTGCAGCAGCAGCAGCAGTAGCAAGGGCACCGGCGGCAGCAGCAGACAGCAACAACAAGGAACGCGTGAGATGAATAAGCCAGGAGGATGAATGCGTTGCCTCTCCCTCCCTGCGTGCCGCGGAGGAATGTTGCATGAGTTTTGAAAGACGCGAAGGGAGTGGGGACATTCAAAAAGTGAGTGAGTGAGTGAGAGAAAAAAAAAAACCCCGACAACCCCCGTTAGATTGTTTGAAAACGGTGCCGCGGTTTCGCGTACGTGGAACAGGCGTGGGTCAGGGGGTTAGAGAAGCTGCCATGGCTGAGTGGTGCCTGGCTCATTTCATGGCCCCCTGAAAAGGTTGGAGGTTACCCGGTCCCTCTCTGCGTTTGGGGCTGCTTTTTGTGTGTGTGTGTGTGTGGGACCCGTGGTGGCGGATGCCTCGAGTCTCGGGGGGAAACGCGGCACGATCGGAGGGCCCCCGCTGTGGCTGGCGACCCCCCCCCCCCACCACCTCCCCCCCCACCTCGGGGAGTCTGCGTGGGGCGGCTCGCCCGCCAGACACTCCGTTACCGTCCGTCCTGTTCTCAAAAGTCGCGCGCCCTAAAGCCTTCACAGTTAATCTGCTGTTGTGGCCGCTTGATGCGGCCAGGTTAAGTGCACGAGACTCTCGCGCCGTTGGTTTGTATTCACGTCGTGTTCAATGTGTTGGCGATGGTGATGGTGGCGGTGGTGGTGGTTGTGGCACAGTGGTTTCAAAATCAGAATATTTAATGACACTGGAGGAATTCATACTCTTCTGGGTCTTTCGGTAAAGTCACGTAGGTAGAAAAATAAGGAGGAATCTTATGGCAGGAGCCAGTCTATCCATAGGGCACCCAATGTTGTCTTCACCCCTCCAAGCGGTGCTCATTAAATAGACCACGAAATTTGAATTCACGACGTTCTCAGAATCAAAATATGTATTTATACTTGGAGGAATCCGATGATCTATAAAGCTACTTTTTTCACACATGTCCAGGAGGGGCGTGTCAGAACTTTTCAACATGAAACAGTACAAAAACACGATGGGAGTGCAAAGTATAAGAAAAGTATAGAAATCACTTAAAAATACATTCAAATAAAACTAAACTATCTTCTATCTTACCAGGCAAAGCCCACTCAGCTATTGGCTTATTTTACAGAAGCGACCTGGCTATACACGACAGCTCATAAAAGTGGCTCATCTTGCGGAAATTTAAAGCAGCAAAATAATCTGAATAATCGTGTGCTGTGAACGTGGCATCCCCAGCTCGACTCGGTGGTGAGTGATGCTTGAACCAGTCCCAGACCACCCCACCGCCCCGTCACCAAACCGCACTGACCAGTACGCGTTCACAATTGGCCGCAAATAATAATTTGGTAACTTGGCGTTTGACGTTGTGTTCCACGGTTGTTCTCGTGTGCACGGTTTCGCGATCGTATTGCGAACGTTGCTTTTGCCTCCTCCCCTCCGCGTCAGACGACCAAGGCGTTCCTGCCGCACATGCTGGAGACCAACCACGGACACCTGGTGACCGTCGCCAGTTCCTTGGGTTTGTTCAGCACGGCTGGCATCGAGGTGAGTGCAGGGAACATGGGCCGACGAAACCGACACTCTAAACACTTTGGGGAGAGGAAATAAAAAATAAATATATATATACACCCTGAATGTCTCAGGCGGCGCTGTGCTTGGGCTTCCGTTTGGCCTCAGCGGCAGCTTTGCGCTGTGAATTCAAAGAAGCGTCGGAACCTACATTTAAATTTACAACTCAGAAAGCTCTCCCCGAGAGAGCTTTGCAGCACCACCGGAGCGGAAGCCCCCACACACGTTGGCGTGCCGCTGCTATTGCTGTACACAAAATCGACGGTGCGAATTGTTGCTCGCATTCCTCCAAGTCCTGGCTCTGCCCCTCCAAAAACACTCAAGAGGCACGAGGGGAACCGCAGACAAACGGGAAGGGAGCAGCCAGGCAGAGAGCTGGCATACATTCCCTCCAAAGCTCTGTGGTCCTCTATATATATTAAGATGTAATCGGCTAATTAGTGAGTGTCTACACGCGGGAGGCAACCGAAGCACGTGGAGAAAACCCCACTCGTGTGAGCGAGGGGGAAACGCTCTATCCCATACAGACGGAACAGATAGAGTCCACATTTGCTCTACCGCCTTCTCCTGGCGAGCCAGAGTCATGGCACCTCCTCGATGCTGACGAGAAGGGAGTTTTCCATTATTTGCGTGATCCACGAACCCTCTCTGGCTCCACAATGCCGGGTTACAGGCGTGCATAGCGACTAGCATATAATCATGATTTCCCCCTTTCTCTAAACGAATTTTTTTTAAATTTATTTTACCACGTAAAGTCCACTGAGCTGCGTAGCTCTTTTTCAGAAGCAACCTGGCCACAAATGACAGCTCAACGAAGCGGCTTACCACGTGGACATTTAGGGCGACCAAACACGGCCTGTGTCTCATGTAACGCCGCATGTTTTCAGAACGCGAATCAGATACAACGCGATTAATGTGTTAGGGAACACATTTTTTTTTAATAACGCGGATGCGAATTGGATGTAACGCGACCAAGCGAGCGGACCTACGTCGCGCGAGCAGGAGTAAGCGCTCGTACGGCCACCTCGGAGTAGCGTTTCATCTGGATGCTACCCACGTGCCTCAGCCTTGGTTCAGCCTGCGTATGCATCTCACGTGTTATCCCGGACTGTGCTTTACCCCCTACATTAGACATTATCATCATAACGCGGCGTTCTTTAGGAACGCAACTCCTCCCACGTTAGGGGAGAACACGACTGTACACTAAACGCATGTTTCCCTGTGGCACACCCCCCCCCACCCCCCACCCCCACCCCGCCACGTAGGATTATTGCGCGAGCAAGTACGGGGCGGTCGGCTTCCACGAGTCGCTGGCGCACGAGATCCGAGCGATGGAGAAGGACGGAGTCCACACGACGCTCGTGTGCCCCTACCTCGTCAGCACCGGCATGTTCCAGGGCTGCCGCATACGGTGAGCTCGGAGCTCACGCGCCCCTGGGGGGGGGGAGTTGGGCTGTGGCATGGATACCGTGCAGGAGGAGTTTTTGAGCGTGCGCGGGGAGCGTCGGCACCGTGTCGCGGCCGTGATGCGCGCGAATACGCAGCGTCGAACGAATGCCTTCCAGACAGAGCGCACGAACACACAAAGGTGTGCAGCTTCGGCATCGGCTACAAATCACATAAATGCTCAGTGTGTGTGTGTGTTTGGACGTACTGTAAATATACTTATAAATTTAACCTTTTGCGTACTTTGTAGATGGTTTCAAACAAAAGCGGTGCAACTGGCGCCTTGAAAAGTACCGGTGGCTTTAGCACAAACAAGTAAAAACCCAACAAACACGTCAATAATGCTGCCATAAAAGGGAACATAATATAGCAGGCGATGTTGCAGGGAATGAGCCCTTTTTTCACAGCAGAAATCAATGATTTCGTGGAACCTGACGACAAATTACCTCTCAGCTCCGCGAAGTCCATTTCCTGAGATATCACTTAATATAAAACCAAATCCCATATTAAAAAGTGCTCATCTCCCGTTTAGGGCCCCGAAGCAGTGGTGGATGTTCCTATGGCAGGAGCCAGCCTATCCATAGGACACCCATTGTTGTCTTCACCCCTCCAAGTGGTGCTCATTGTATGGACCACCAATTTGAATTCGCGACGCTCTCAGAATCAATCAGAATCCGTATTTATGCTGCAGGAGGAATCCGATGAGCTATGAAGCTCTTTGTTCACAGATGTCCAGTAGGGGCGGGTAAGAGCGTTACATCAACAAACGATGCGAAAACAAACAATATAGTAGCGCTAAGTAAAGGAAAGGCAAACACATCACGTAAAAAAAAAGTTTTTTCTGATTGCGAGCCGCTCACTTTGCCGCCAAGCCAGCCCGGTCCGGATCCTTTCAGGGCGGCGCTATTTGCCGTCGTGCCAAAGACAAAGTCAAAGACAAAGATCCCCCGTGTAGCCTTGGCACAGCTTTTGGGGAAAGTGCCGTTCGTGAGTAGCGCCTACGGTATGAAGGCCGGCACGGCACACGAGCGGAGAGGTGGGTGGCCAGTACCACGCACGGCCGCCTTTGTCTCCCTATCCGCGATGTTTACTACACACCGCGCCGGGTACTCATTTGAGGCTGAGTCCAGAGCCGGTTCAGATAACCGTCACCGGTGTTGGCCGCGAGCGGGAATCGAGCTGGGGTGGCCGAGTCCGGCAGCGAGCTGACCGAAGCGCCACCGCGGCTCCCCCGTGCAGCATCGCGTGCACGCACGCGAGCGGTTGTTGTATTTGGAAGGGTTTAGGCTCGTGAAATCTTGAAGCCCCGGGCAGTGACGCAGGGGGCTCGATCGCCGCGTGGGCCAGCGTGCCTCTGTTTGGTGTCACGGCAGAGAATCCAGCTGTTGGCTCGAAGCGGGACCTCGGGGAGGGCATCGTCAAGTTGTGCCTCAACGCGAGCCGAGAATTCTTCACCGCAGTCGTCATTAGCTAAGCAATGCCTCCTCGCAAGTGAAAAAAAAGCCAGCGTGTGGCCACAAACGGGTTGCTGCAGCCATGCGCTGTGTGACGGCTGGCTGGCGCACCGGACTGGCGATCCAGAGGGTCGCCGGTTCGTATCCAGCTCCTCGCGAAGCAGCTGAAACAATGGGGGGGGGGCAGGGGCAAATTTTTGCTAAAATCCCACCCAGCAGTATAACTGGGAACACGGCAATGAGTCGATCGTCAGCGAGTCCATGTGTGGTGGGGTGAAGTGCGCGTGCTCCCTTCTACTCTATTTCGAGACGTCTGGCCGGCAAGGAAGAGTAGGCCAAACACACATTTTCGAGGGGCTGTCCAGAATTTTCTCTAGTGGAAGCCTCTGTGCCAACAGTGGCATGAGCAAGCAGTTTCACGGCTGCACCCTGTTTTTTTTTCGAGTAACCCTTTGACTAACCCCCGTTAAACCTTCAGCTGCGCATAAACACACTTCTTCCGTTTGACGCACTCATCACTAAACGGTAGGGTGCTGCTAACCTCGTAACATTTCAACTGTTTTGGTCGTTTTCCTTCGCAACGCTGCTGTCCCACGGTGCCATGGCTCACACTGTTTGCTTTCATCTTGGAAAACACCCAGAGTGCTGTGCGTTACTGGGACCTGACCCAGTGATGCACGGCAATATGTCATTTCATTGTGTTTTTTTTTATTGTTGGATATTATCTCTTCAAAGAAACGGATTTTTGAGACGGGAGTTAATATGTGTAATAAGTAGCCAACCGCGCTAATCAGAGGTGCGGGGGAACGATAAGAAACTAAAGACAAAAAAGCAGTTCTAAATAAATGAGTTTTCATTCTAGGTGTATGTATGTGCGTTGAACTTCTTTCGCCCCGTACTACTGTGTGCATCGGAGAGCTGTGGAAACTTAACAAGAGCAGCTCAAAAATAAGCTGCTCGAAATGTGAGCCTGCGCGAGTGTCCATCTGACCGAGACGAACGCTGGGTAATCTCGTGGCAAGACACAAGGATTGGCAATGCCGAGGCACGATAGTCCACGGCAGGTGAGTGAGTGCTGTGCTTACGATTCGGCAAAACAACGGGTGCGCTGGGTGGGACATGAGTGCAGGATGAGGGAGGTTCGGTTACCGACACAGGCATAAGCTAAACTATATGAAGCAATTTGTGTTTAATGTTAACAGGTCAAGCCCACTGAGCTGTATAGCTCTTTTTCTGAGACGACCTGTCGATCACAAATGATAGCTCGATGAAGCGGCTTATCATCACGCGGAAATATAGAGCAGACAAATACTCTTCATCGCACGTTGATTCTCAATGTGGAGGGAACAGCCGGAGGGCCCGGAGATAAATCCATGCGATCACGGGAAGAGAGAGAGAGAGAGAGATGTGAACTCCAAATATACAGCAGCAGGCGTCACGGTCGGGATCGAACCCACGACCTCCTGTATACCAGGCGAGGAAGTTGACATCTCGCCACCGTGGCGCCCAGGCATTGGAGTGGCCTTCACGAATCCGGTGACCAGCGTGGAAGATCTAACTGCAGATGGTTGGCGGCGGTCAAGGCGGATCCTGGAGGACGCTGCTGCGTGTCTCTGCGGCGCAGCAGCTGTGCCGATCTGGCGGAGGGCGGTAGAACGCGTTGGCAATGAGGTGCTGTGGTGGCCTTCACGATGTCTTGAACTTTGGTCTGGGTTATTATGTGGAACAGAAATTTGGAGGCAACCTTGAACCACCATCATTATTCTTTTGCAAGGCAGTGGTTGTTAACGATTAGGGCGGTAAATGTATTTTTAGCCTGTTATGTTGTGGCACAGTTCCCAGAGCAATATCTTAAAAAACACAACACTCCCCAAATTGTATTGCAGTGCGTGCCGATATGGCTGTACGTATGGAATGTAATACGTGTGTGTGTGTGTGTGCTGTGTGGTAGTGTAGTGGTTAGTGTGTCGCGCTATGAAACCGGAGACCCGAGTTGGATTCCCGCTCAGGGCCAACGCCAGTGGCGAATATCTGAACTCGTCCTGTCAAGCTGTAATTCAATGATGTAATGCACACGTCATGTTACTTCCTTAGTATCCCCTAGGTCGACTCAGCCTCAAATGAGTACCTGGTGTGGTGTGTAAACATCGCCACTCGGGAGACATGGGCGGTCGGGCGTGGTGCTGGCCACCCACCCCCTCGTGTGCCGTACCGGCCTACATAGGCGCTCGCTAAAAGCGCTTGCGCCAGCAGTCTGTTAAGGCTGTATTGTATCGGAGATCTTTGTATTGAACCACCCAACCACCTGGTATTTTTCCTGTGAGTTAGTCCTAGAGATGTCCGCCGCTTAACACACGGCGCAGATTTTATCTCACGTTTAGGTGACAGGCTGAGGTCAGAGCACAGGGTCATCACTGCAGAAATCCTGGCTATCACATGGTGAACCTGGCTATCACATGGTGAACCTGGCTATCACATGGTGAACCTGGCTATCACATGGTAAACCTGGCTATCACATGGTGAACCTGGCTATCACATGGTGAACCTGGCTATCACATGGTGAACCTGGCTATCACATGGTGAACCTGGCTATCACATGGTAAACCTGGCTATCGCATGGTGAACCTGGCTATCGCATGGTGAACCTGGCTATCACATGGTGAACCTGGCTATCACATGGTGAACCTGGCTATCACATGGTAAACCTGGCTATCACATAGTAAACCTGGCTATCACATGGTAAACCTGGCTATCACATGGTGAACCTGGCTATCACATGGTGAACCTGGCTATCACATAGTAAACCTGGCTATCACATTGTGAACCTGGCTATCACATGGTGAACCTGGCTATCACATGGTGAACCTGGCTATCACATGATGAACCTGGCTATCACATGGTGAACCTGGCTATCACATGGTGAACCTGGCTATCACATGGTGAAACTGGCTATCACATGGTGAACCTGGCTATCACATGGTAAACCTGTCTATCACATGGTGAACCTGGCTATCACATGGAGAACCTGGCTATCACATGGTGAACCTGGCTATCACATGGTGAACCTGGCTATCACATGGTAAACCTGGCTATCACATGGTAAACCTGGCTATCACATGGTAAAACCTGGCTATCACATGGTGAACCTGGCTATCACATGGTGAACCTGGCTATCACATGGTGAACCTGGCTATCACATGATGAACCTTGCTATCACATGGTGAACCTGGCTATCACATGGTGAACCTGGCTATCACATGGTAAACCTATCTATCACATGGTGAACCTGGCTATCACATGGTAAACCTATCTATCACATGGTGAACCTGGCTATCACATGCAGAAGCTGGCTATCACATGGTGAACCTGGCTATCACATGGTGAACCTGGCTATCACATGGAGAACCTGGCTATCACATGGCGAACCTGCCTATCACATGGTGAACCTGGCTATCACATGGTGGACCTGGCTATCACATGGTGAACCTGGCTATCACATGGTGAACCTGGC